CTCTCTCTCTCTCTCTCTCTCTCTCTCTCTCTCTCTCTCTCTCTCTCTCTCTCTCCTTTGCAGCGTTCAACGCACGGGATGCCCGTTTGTGGCGTTGGAGCAGTATGGCTCGCGAGGCAAATGAACTGCGGCCGAACGCAAGTACCGTTTTTGTACCCGTTCGGACCGTTTCCCCTGCGCCACCACCCCAGCAGGCACCCCACGAACGCCCTGGAGGACGCAAAGGGGTTCGCGTGTTTTTTTTTAATTTTTTTTCAAAAAAAATAAAATAAAATAAAAAAGTGCATGGGGCGGTACCCGACAACGGACACTACCACCCCACACTTTCACAAAACCCCTACCCCCCCCCCCCAACGCGCGGAAAAGCGGTTCGCGGACTCCGTTCATTCGCGTCCAACGCGCGTTTGAGCGGGGATTGAACGCGAATTTAACGCGCGTTCAATTTTTCAACGCGAAGCCCGCGTTGAATCGATTTTCGGACACACAACTCGAACGAGGTCGATTGCTGGTCTACAAACTCCACCATCACCCTGCGCAGGCTGGTGGTCGTCCCCGTCCTTGGCATCATGGGACCTCTCCCCCATGTAGCAGGTATCCCGACGATTGAGTCCGTTGATCGACGCGGGGCCCGTCTCAACGGCGCGTGCAGCATCTAGGGTCACTCTAATATCTTACGTCACAGGGCAGCACTGAGCAAGCGCATGCGCTCGCTCTCTTTCCTCTCGGTCCCTCCTGTCTACATCCATCTCCACATATATCTCCTCAATGGGTGTACACCCGACGTCATCCCCCATGCGCGGCATGCTTCCTCCAGGCGTACTCTCCATCCCCTGAGCTGCCTCCATCAACAAACTACTCGAGACACCACCGTTGATAGGTGTCTCCTCCGCGGCAACCGGGGCACATCCATCATCATGGGGGGTCGGGGGAGGACCCATCGACAAGCTGAGAAAATCAGCGATCGAGCCGGTCGCAGTGGTCTCGGCCCGTGCATACGCAGAATGGTCGTGGTCAGCCACGGAGCTCCCCCTACTAGGGGAACGAGGATCCTGTCGCCCCGATCGTCCACCTCCACCACCCCTGCTTGCCCCCTCGGTACCACGCTCTCTCGCCTCCCTCAATCTCTCTGAATGTCGCTGACCCTGTACTTGTGCGGCAATACCGCAGCCTCTGCCGTCATCCTCGCCTCCCAGTGCTTCATCCTCCGTGACCCCACCAAAATCCTGATTGTCATCGGACTCGCTGCTGCCCTCATACCCTTTATCGCCGTTGTCGTTGCCGCTGTCGACTGGACGGCCTCTGATGTTGTACCTTTGTAAGACCGGCCCTATCCACTACAGCAGGTGCAAAAGTGTCGCGAGGAGTTGAAGCGAGAGGGCGACGCGAAAGATGAGGATGGATTGAGGTCGACTCTTGCGTCTGACGCCACATCCGTGCTAGAGGAACGTCATCGTCGAAAAACTGCTTCGACTCGACGTCCATGTCATGTGGATTTGACCATGGCTCCGCCTTAATCTCATCCTGCGTGAGAGGGTCGGGCTCAGGGTCGTACATCGAGTCCTCATGTGGCAACAGAACAGTCGCTCGCCTCTCGAAGTATCTCTCCACGGTCGTGGGCTGTCAAGTGAGTGAATTCTTCCGTCCCTTTTGTACCTGCATGTCCAACTGCTCCATGGTGACCTTGTCCGTGGGGCGGACTCCTGATTAACGGGGCTCCGGTCTCTCGTCCACCGTGACGATGTCCTCATCCTCCCATGGGAGGACGTATCCCGCACCCTTGTTGTGACACCGAAGCAGTGTCAAATTGGTGGACATCTCCACCAAACGAGTGAGCTTGGTAGCCAAGCCTATTTCGCCTCTTCACCTGAACGCACTCATGGACAACCCAGTTCTTCTCCACATGAGAGGCGCATGTCCACGTGTGCATTAGGCAAACAACGATAGCCTGCAGCAAAGGAACACCGTCCCCCTGTGTGTCCTATCAATGGGCAACGGAAAATTTTCGACGCCGCTGTACCCGTTGAACAGCCCCGGTGCCCCCGTTGAAACCCCGTTGAATGTTTCAACGGGGTCTTCTCGTTGAACAATGTTCAACGGGTCGGGCGCAACAGCCCTCGGACCCGCGGCCCTATCGGCGGGGCCGAAAAAAAAGAACACGACACGGGACCCCCTTCGTTGAACTCCCGTTGAACCCGTTGAACGGGTTTAATATCGTTGAATTTTCGTTGAATCCCTGTTGAACGGCATGGCCGTTCCGTTAGAAATCAAAAAACGGGGTGCGCGCTCATGGCTGCGGCACATCGCCATACACGCCGGGACCGAAAAAGGTTGAAAAAAAAAGAAGAAAAAAAGCCCACTCCGCGGCCTCCCCGTTCTGCCCGACCCGACCACATACACCACCCTTCCCGAACCCACCCTCCCCTCCCAGCCACCCTACCCCCGCCCCGCGGAAGCAACCCCCGCGTCACTAAATCGCGAAAACCCCACCCGCAAGCCCCCACCACTCGGCAGCCCCTACCCCAGCAAACACACCCCACAACCCTGGACACGCAGGGACCGACGCCCCTGCTCTTCCAACCGCGCCAACTCCTGCCCTCTGCTCGACTGTCTTGGAGGCGCGCTCGTTCAGGATGCCCGTCGGGATGGCGCTGTGCAGGAGGCCCCCAATGATTCACAACAGACAAGTGAGGATTGACCTTTTTATGGCCAGTTCTCTTGTCGTTTGCTGCATCTCCTGCACATCGTTTTCTACGGTGCCGCATAAAACAGTCCCCGCGACCCGATCTGGGCCCCCCACCCCCCAGCCCCCTTCCCCCCCTCTGCCCCCCCCCTTGTTTGGATGTGCTTACAGTACATGTAGTTCGTTTGTTTTTCATTGTGTTAAGTGTCTTTCGATTTTATTTTTTTTAAATGGACATGCTATTTTTTTTTTTTTTAAATGGGGATGTAGAG